ATTCCCCATAACCACTCTAGGTGCTGAAACACCCTGGGAGAGAAAGCTCGCAAGCCTCTCTCCACAGAGTATTTAAATATATTCACACCCAGTGAGGCTTTCCACACACAATAACATGCATATTAGAGAGGCACAGCTGAGCTGAATATAGCTCCGCCCACGATCTTGCAAGATCAGGGCTGAAACAACTCACACTTCATCGTCATAACAACCCAATAGTATCCGTGGCATCTGACAACCCGTTTAGAGAGGGTGTGCGGATCCCGCAGATCAAAATGATGACTGCGAGGTGAGATGAACTGTGCCACGGCAATGGCGGAACTGGTCCGCAAGCCACAAATGCTTTGTCCCGCATCCCTCGGGAATAGGAACAAACGCGAGCAGAGCATAGACATTGTGACTCATCACAATGAGCACGTAACTCTGAACGCGCGTGCTCTTTCCCGAGAAAATGCGAAAGCAGAACATGCCCTCGAGTGTTAGAATCCAAACACGGAGATCACATTCCCTAAGGCGCTGCTTGGCTTGAGCGCTAGCCGCTGGATTCGATAATCCAAAAAGAGCATCTTAAACCCACGAACCCTGCGATCCGAGTCTTCGCCGTGCCTCGGCAGCAGCAGGACCTGAACCGCGAGACGCAAGCGCTTGTCACTCATCTCTCGAGAAGAGGGACAAACGCGAATGGAGCTTCTCATTGTATAACACTCACAATGAGCGCGTTCAGAGTCCTTGAGCACTGAATGCGCAAGCTCCTGACCAAGACGCATGACGGATAGATCGTGTGTGTCCTCAAGTGTCAGAAACCTCAGGCACGTAGGGACACACTTTCCACACTGCTCTCCTGCCCTGGTCTCTCACACGCACTTCAAACTGACGGCTCCTGAAGACAGCAAAAGTGGATGACGTATTCAGCAGGTGTCCTTTTATACTTCCGGGCACCCTGATTATGACGTCACGGGCCATGTGGACCAATAGATTGGCGTTGTTTCACACGTGCTTCAGACACCGGTCATGCAGGCTGCATTCCCCAATGTGCCCCCTAGGGGGTGCAGTGTGGAGTTCCCTAGAAGGGGAACACTCTAACTGAAAAACTTGTATTACTTTTCTATTGTATTAAGCCTCAAATGTCAATTATACATTGGATTGGTTTCTTCTTTAAATAAAAAAAAAAGTAAAAATATGCATGGTATTATAATGTTATACTAAAACTAAAATAACACAATGGAAAAACCCTTAACCTGTAGAAAAAAAACAATTTATATATATATATATATATATACCCTTAACCTGTACAGAAAAAAATATTTGTATATATATATATATATATATAT